TGTTAGAAATTTTTTTTGCTTCTTGAGGTAGGCCTATAGTGCTATGAACTTCCCTCTCAGAACTGCTTTCACTGCAGCCCACAGATTTTGTGTTATTGTGTGTTCATTTTCATTGGTTTCCAGGAAGTTTTTAATTTCTTCCTTGATCTCTGTGGTAACCCATTCATTGTTCAATAACATGCTATTTAGCCTCCATGTATTCAAATGTCTTTGCATGTTCTTCTTGCAGTTGATTTCTAGTTTCATGCCATTGCAATCTGAGAAGATGCTTGATATGATTTCAGTCTTCTTGAACTTGTAGAGATTTAGTTTGTGTCCTAACATGTGGTCTGTCTTTGAGAATGTCCCATGTGCACTTGAGAAGAATGTGAATTCTGCAGTTTTGGGTGTAATTCTCTGTAGATATCTATAAAATCCATTTGATCAAGAGCTTCATTTAGTGTCTGTGTTCCCTTTTTAATTTTTTGTCTAGAGGATCTATCTAGTGATGTCAGCGGGGTGTTGAAGTCCCCTGCTATGACTGTATTGCTGTTGATTTCTCCTTTGAAGTCCTCCAAAAGATTTTTAATATATGTTGGTGCTCCTATATTGGGTGCATATATGTTTACCAAGGTTATATCTTCTTGTTGGATAGATCCTTTCAATATTATGTAGTGGCCTTCTTTGTCTCTAGTTACCGTCTTCATTTTCAAATCTACTTTAGCAGATATGAGTATTGGTAACCCAGCTTTTTTTTTTTTTTTCTTTTGTTTGCTTGAAAGATTTTTTTCTATCCCTTCACTTTCAACCTATGTACGTCTTTTATTGTGAGGTGGGTCTCTTGTAAACAACATATATGTGAGTCATGCTTTCTTATCCAGTCATGTACTCCGTGTCTTTTTATTGGAGCATTCAAAACATTCACATTTAAGGTATAATTGATATGTACTTATTTATTGCCATTTTTGTTTAGTGTGGTTATATTTTTCTTCCTATTTCTTCTACTAATTACACCAGTCCTTTTAGCATATCTTTCAGTGCTGGTTTGGTGGTAATATATTCCTTAGCCTTTTTGTTGTCTGGAAAGCTCTTTATTTGGCCTTCTATTTTGAATGATAGCCTTGCTGGATAGAGTAGTCTTGGATTCAGGTACTTGTTTTTCATGACCTTGATAACTTCATGCCATTCCCTTCTGGCTTGTAGTGTTTCTGTTGAGAAATCAGCTGAGAGCCTTACGGGGTTTCCTTTGTAGGTAACCTGTTGCTTATCTCTGGCTGCCTTTAGGATTATCTCTTTGTCTTTAATTTTTAGTATTTTAAATGCTATATTTCTTGGTGTGGGTCTGTTTGGGTTCTTCTTACTTGGGGCTCTCTGTGCTTCTTGAACTTGAATGCCTTTTTCCTTCACCAAGTTAGGAAAGTGTTCTGACATTATTTCTTCAAATATATTCTCTTACTCTTGCCCATTTTCTTCTTCTTCGGGAACTCCTATGATGCTTATGTTATTACGTTTCCAGTTGTCCCATAGTTCTCTTAAGCCATCTTCCTGTTGTTATTTTTTCCTTTTGATTTTCTGAATGGTTGATTTTTTTCTGCCCTGATCTGGTCCTCAGCTTCTTCTCCTCTGCTGTTTAGTCCTTCCAATGTGTTCTTAATTTTTGCTATTCATTCTTCATTTCTACTTGTTTGGTTTTCAATGTTTCTATATCTTTATTCATGGTGCTGATGTCCTTACTCATGCTTTTGAGCTTCCTCAAGATCATGGCTCTGAACTCTACCTCTGATAATCTGTTTAGCTGCATTTCATTAATCTCATCTTCACTTGAGTTCTCTTGTTCTTTCATTTGGGATTTGTTTCTTTGTTTCACCATTTTGGCTATCTCAGTGGGTTTTGGAGCCTGCCAAATTTCCCTGTGGGTGTTGGTATTCTGCTGATTGTGGCTCCCTCTACTGGGTTTGGATGAGCCTGGGTGGCCCACGTTAAACACCACTGTCAAGTCTTACTTTCCTGGGTAGATTTGCAAGCCCAGGAAAGGTTTAGTTATCCTCTAGCTTTTTCCTAGTGGCCAGTGGTCTCAGTTACTCTGTGCCTTGGAATGTAGCCCTGTTGTTCTGCCTAAGAGGATTTCCAGAGGGTGGGATAGATGCTGGTTGTTACTGAGTCTGAATTTTCATTTCCTTGCCTCACCTGGGAAAGTCTGAATCTCTGAGGGTGGGGAGCTGCTGCTTTTCCCCACAACTCGGGGAAGGAGCACACTGGCCACCACCCTTTGTGGCCGCAACTCAGCAATAACTCTGAGTGCTCTCCAAATCCTGGGTGTCCCCACAGAGTCTCAGCCCAGTCTGCCCTCCCTCTGCCGTAGCCCCCAGGTGAGTGGCTGTGGCTGTTTTAGTGCTCTGTTCTGGCTCTGTTGGCTGTGGAACGGGCTTGGTCTTTATTCCCCAATTACACTGCTCACAGCTAAGACTGCTGCTTTCCGTGGGCTTCCAGCCCCCCATTCTCTCGTGCCTCTGCAGATCCTACCAGTGTCCCTGTTTATATGGTCCTGTCCTGCTGCTTTTCTGTTTCTTTTTTCTAAGGATTTGTCTTTATTTTAGTTGTAATTCCCATTTGGTCCTGTGAGATCATCTGCGTGGCTTCTATTCACTCCGCCTCCTTTTTCACATCCTCTACGCCTATTTTGTGCACAGCTACATTGCACAGGCCTTTCTGGTGCCCTGGCACACTGCAGATCCTGTGGGTAACTGGATCACACAGTCCCTCTGGAGACCCGGCTCTATGCCTATGTTATGGGCTGCTTGGTCGCACAGACCTCTCTGGTGCTCAGCACCCTGTAGGTCCCACGGGTAACTGGATGGCACAGTTTCTGTTGGGTCTCGCAGGCCTCTCTGGTGCTTCAGCACCCCATAGGCCCTGTGGCTTACTAGATCGCGCCATCCCTGCTGGGTCGCACAATCCTCTCTGGTGCTTCAGCACTCCACAGGCCCCGTGGGTAACTAGATCACGCAGTCCCTGCTGTGTGGCACAGGCCTCTCTGGTGCTTCAGTACCCCGCGGGTCCCATGTGTAATTGGATGGCACAGTCCCTGCTGGGTGACACAGGCCTTTCTGGTGCTTCAGCACCCAGCAAGTCCCGCGGGTTATTGGATGGCACAGGGGCCTCTCTGGTTCTTCAGCACCCTACAGGACCCTTGGGTTACTGGATTGCACAGTCCCTGCTGGGTCTCACAGGCCTCTCTGGTGCTTCAGTAAACCACAGGTCCTGCGGGTTACTGCATCGCACAGTCCCTGCTGGGTCGCACAGGTTTCTCTGGTGCCCCCGCACCCTGCAGTTCCCCTGGGTGGGCAGCTGGATCGTACCAGTCTCTCTGGGGCTAGGGTTTCCCACAGCACTTGTGAGCTACTGAACTGCACTGGCTTCTGTTGAGCCCCAAGTCCAGCTGCTGGCGGATGGGGAGTGCTGCTGCCCCGTTGGGCTCAACTGCTGCTCAGCTTTTGCTGTAGATTTTGAGGATAGGTCTCATCTGCTGGTCTGTGCTTCTGTTGCCTGGGGATGGATGTCTGCTCCCCAGCTTCTGTTGCTGGTGTTTTCTACTAGGTTATTTTTAAATGTAACCAGATTAACCCTGGGGCTTTCCTTTTTAATCTTCACCCGAGGACATTTTTTTGTATTTGTTCAGATAGAGAGGGAGGGAGAGAGAGGAAGAGAGAGAGAGAGAAACACCGACGTGAAAGGGACACATCAAGTGGCTGCCACCCGCACAACCCAACCAGGGCCGGGGACAAACTGCAACCCAAGGTACATGCCCTTAGCGGAAACCGAACTCGGGTCTCTCTGGACCACAGGCTGACGCTCTAACCGCTGAGCCAAACCAGCCAGGGCCCTGGGGCTTTCTTAATCATTATATTTGGCTAAATCTTTTTTGTTTTTTCTCGCGTGCCCCTAGCAGGAACCGATCCCAGGACTCTCTGGTCCACAGGCTGATGCTCAACCGCTGAGCCAAACTGGCCAGGGCTATTTGGCTGAATCTTAATGGAGAGGAGAAATTGTGTCATGCTAACCCAGGGTTTGGCAGACATTGTGTTTTCTTTTTTAAAAATAATTTTTCTTTTTTTTTTTTTATCCTCACCCGAGGACATTTTTCCATTTTTTGTTCAGATAGAGCGGGAGGGAGAGAGAGGAAGAGAGAGAGAGAGAAACATCGATGTGAAGGGACACATCGAGTGGCTGCCACCCGCACGACCAACCAGGGCCGGGGACAAACTGCAACCGAGGTACATGCCCTTAGCGGGAACCGAACCCAGGTCTCTCTGTACCGCAGGTCGATGCTCCAACCGCTGAGCCAAACCGGCCAAGGCTAAAAATAATTTTTCTTTATTGATTTTAGAGAGAGAGGAGGGGATAAGGAGAGAGATAGAGACATCCATGGGAGAGAATGTCAATTTACCGCCTCCTGCATGCCCCCCATGGGGATCGGGCCCACAACCTGGGCATGTGCCCTAACCAGGAATCAAACTGGTGACTTCTTGGTGCATGGGTCTACACTCAACCACTCAGCCACACCAGGTGGGTGGCAGACATTTTCTTTAAAGGCCCAGTCAAATATTTCAGACTTTGCAGGCCATGAGGTCTTTGTCTCTGTCACTATAGTGTGAAAATACATAAACAAGTAGAAGGGCTGGGTTCCAATAAAGTTTTATTTATAGAAGCTAAAATGTGAATTTTACATAATTTTCATACAAAACAACAGTATTTTTTCAACCATTAAAAATGTAAACATCACTCTTAGCTTTTTGGTTGTACAAAACAGGTAATGCGTGGTATTTGGTCTGCTAGCCATGTCTTCCCAACCCTTGCTTTAGCCTAAAACTAGAGAAAGTCCATATTGGTCCAAAAAGCAGGAAAATTTAACATTTGTTAAGAATATGTATAATGATGTTAAATCTCTGATCAGTTATGTTTTGATTTTTCTGGATATTATGGGTATACATTTTTTGTTGTGTTTACATTCTATTTTGTAGACCGTTGATATTCATAAAGAGAAAGTTGCAAGAAGAGAAATTGGTATTTTGACTACCAATAAAAACACTTCAAGGACACACAAGATTATTGCTCCAGCCAACCTTGAGCGACCAGTTCGTTACATTAGAAAACCTATTGACTACACAATTCTAGATGATATTGGACATGGAGTAAAGGTAAGTATAATTTTTGTCAAGCTTTTAAAAACAATAGCCCTTGTTGGAATGAACTCGTTAGAAAATTAAGCTTTTATCTCTCCTTTCCTAGAAAACCAAGGCTTAGCCCAGTTGTGGTTCTGAAGATTCCTTACTGCTATAAACTATTTTATCTTCCTTGTTTTTTCTTAGTGCTGTGTTCTCAAGTTTTAAATAATTATTTTGGAATGAATTGTATTTGCTTAATTAATTAATGATAATACCTCATATATATAATAAATGTGTAATCTAATATTTTAATATGACTGATTAAATTATTATATTATTAAGTATTTATCTTATCTTAAAATTTTATTTGCAAACTTTGGGCATTAGTTTTCAAAAAGAACATAAACCAAAATGTACTTTGATTTTTCTAAAATAATTTTATCTTAACATTTTGGGTGAGAATAATAGATAAAATAATATGTGAATTAATATTTCCACTACTTTTGCATATATAATCATTGTATTTTTTGGCTATCTTCTAAAATATATTTGAATGCCTACTATGTATATAAAGTACCATGATCAAAACTTGAGGGGAACATAAATTTTATGTAAATTGGTATTTGTACTTAAGAAAGTATTCAGCGTTTTAGCTAATTATTAAGTTATTTAAAGTTTGCATCTCATCAATGTTTTTAAAGACAAAAAACTTAACGAAATGTGACTTTGAATAAATATATATGCTTATAAGTGAAACTATATAGTTTATGCAGTTGATTTATGACTCTATAAGCAAATTTAAATTTTAAAATGCCCTATGCTACTATGGTTAGAAATCAGTTAAACCTAAATTTAATTAATTTAATTTAGATTTAGGTGCATGAAAATGTACAATGTAAATTTTTTAAAAATCTTTTTCTTTCTCAGAATTTTGATAATAAGCACTATTATCTGAAATTTGATATTTTATTTTATAATTGACACCTACATATGTTTAGGTTACTGTATTAATTAGAGCATGTTAAAATAGGATGTGTAATTTGATAGATAATTAATAACTGAAATTTATTCCAGCTTGGGAAAACCTTTTGAGATTTATTCAAGACTAGCAACTGCTAATAGAAAATTTTAGGGTACTACCAGAATCTAATGACAAAATGGCACTTAGAATATAAAACATCATATTTGTGCTTGCCTGCTTATATAATAAAAAAAAGGTGATTCTCTACTTAATTCTTACTTAATTCTAAGTAAAATGTTATTGTTTAGGACTCTGCAGTCCCTTTCATTGTCTGGACTTCTGATGTTTAGGGGTCAATAATTTGAAAAAATCTTTAGTAAAGTTGTTTTTGAATAAAACAGTGTCATATAATTTCATCAAAAAACTCTTGTTCATGACACATTCTGCTTTAACCACTCTTTCTATGACCTACTGAAACATTATTTTTTAATGCTGAATGCTTAACTTGTTTTTTCTTCGTTTTTCCCTTTCCCTTCACATCCTGAAGTTCCAACTAACCTTTCAATGCTTTTTTTCCTTACCTCTTTTATTTGCTCCATTTATGCATTAAGTGGTTGCTTAGATTTAAGGTAAGAGATTCCAGGGCTGGATTTCCATTCTTTGTTCCTATGTAGAATATTACATATGGGGAGTGAAGAGACATTTGGCAGTTGGCCTTTTAAACCCCCAAAATAATTTCTCTTTTTATTTATTTATTTATTTATGTCATGCAACGTTGTGGTGTCTTCATGTTCCATGAGGGCAGTTATTTTTGTCTGTTCATTGCCCTATCGTGTGTGCCTAGAAGAGTGCCTGACTATTCATTAGGTGATTAATAAGTATTTGTTCAATAAATGGTTATTTTACAATGTTAATATATTTTGTGAGACTGAAATGTAAGTTACCCTATCATAAAATGTCATTATGAAATAAAATTAGCTGGATTTTGTAAATGTAGAATTTTTGTTACGGATTAGAGAGCCAACTAATGTGCTTTGTTTAACCCTCCCCCTGTGTAATTGCCTTTTTATTCTATAAATGGTGTGCTTTATTTTATACTTTGTGGCCACTATGTCATTATCTCGGACTGTTAATGTAAAGAAATTAAGAAGTGGAAAATATTCAATATTACAGGTTTTTGTTTTTTTTTAAGTTGCAGTATCGTGATTTTGCAAAGAACAAAATTAGTCTTTTTTCTCAAATTGCTATATAAAATATATATTTCAATATAAAAATCACTTTAAAAGTTTTCAAGCTGAGTATTAATTATATGCAGAACATCAAAAATACATGATAGTGTTTAACAAAATACAAGTTAAGGATTAGAGAAATATTTCCTTTTGTTATTTGTTTCAGTAACAGTATTGTGGAGAATAAATAGTAAAAGACATTCTAGTATATTCAAGAAGCCTGTCAAATAGTATGTTACTAAAATTATTTCACTAAACTGAGCTTGCATTTTTTTCCCTTAGGTGAATTTTATAACTGCTTTTCAAATATATATTCTTTCTAATAGCCAGTTGTTTGTCATGTCTTTCGTGTAGAAAGTGATAACAAGAATAACTGAAATCTGAATTACTAACTAGCTACTAACCATGTGGCCACAGAAATTGTAATAGATTGTGGTAGGAAGATGTGACTAGAAGAGCCCAGGCAAATGCACTGCTTGTGTTATTGATCAGGGTGTTGGCTCCATGCTCTTAGTCTTTGTGAATGAGGCATGTGGAATTCTGAGGAGATTTATTTTGCATACAATAGGTAGAACTAGACCCAAAACTGTGTGGCTACCTTGGCTCTTATCCTCTTTATGGTCCCTTCAAGTTTCCCAAGGCCATCATTAACCCCTTAACCTTATGGTTCCTGTGGGTGTGTCAGTCTCAGGTTTTTAAGAAAACTGATTGGGTGTTTACGTGCAGGAATAACTGGTCAGAATGGAGTTTAATTTTGTTAAAACATTATTAACCCTTTCAACCTGTGGATTAAATCAAGAGCCCTAGAAGCCTGCTTAGGTTTGGCAGGATTGTCTGCTACTTTGATTTCCATCTCAGCTCTTCTTGAGCTCTGTTTTTCTTCTCATTGCTGTCTGATTTGATGCCTTTCAGACAGACTGTAAACAGTCTGGGATTAGACTTTGGGATCAGACACATGGGAATTGACTCAAAACAGACTGTTTAAAAGTTGAATTTTTAACATTTTTTTAAAGTATGTTTTTATTGATTTTTTTTTTTTTTTTAAATCCTCACCCAAGGACATTTTTCCAGTTATCTTCAGATAGAGCAGGAGGGTGGAAGGGAGGGAGAGAGAGAGAGAAACATCGATGTGAGAGAAACACATTGATTGGTTGCCTCACACACGACCCCAACCAGGGCCAGGGACAAACCACAACCAAAGTATATGCCCTTGACTGGAATCAAAACCGGGACTCTTTGGTCCGCAGGCCGACACCCTAACTGCTGAGCCAAACTGGCCAGGGCTATTGATTTTTTTTTTTTTTTTAGAGAAGAAGGGAGAGAGATAGAAACATCCATGTGAGAGAGAAACATTGATTGGTTGCCTCCTGCATGCTCCCCACTGGGGATGGAGCCCACAACCCAGGCATGTGCCCTGATTGGGAATTGAAGCTGGATCTCTCAGCCCATGGGTCGATGCTCAATCCACTGAACCACACCGGCCAGGCACTATATATATTTTTATAAAAATATTTTAGACTTAGTTCTGGCCGGTTTGGCTCAGTGGGTAGAGTGTCGGCCTGTGGTGTCAGAGAGTCCTGGGATTCGGTTCTTGCTAAGGGCACATACCTTGGTTGCAGTTTGTCCCCGGCCCCAGTTGGGATCATGTGGATGGCAACCACTTGATGTGTCTCTCTCATGTCGATGTCTCTCTCTCTCTCTTCCTTCCCTCTCCCTTACGCTCTATCTGAAGATAAATGCAAAAATGTCCTTGGCTGAGGATTAAATAAATAAATAAATAAAATATTTTAGACTTAAAAAATATAGTTTCTTAACTTTAACAGATCCTATGATAAATTAAATTTTATTCCTGTTCTCTTCCCTTTTCTTTAAACTAGATGGCTATATTTATATTCTGCATAGCATATTTATTGTTTTACTTACTGTAGATGCATTTTTCACAAAGGAAAACTACCTTAAGAAATAGTGAAGCCCTGGCCATTGTGGCTCAGTTATTTGGAGCATTGTCTCATGCACTGAAATGTGGGTTTGATCCCCAGTTTGGGGTGTGTACAAGAGGCAGCTGATCGATGTTTCTCTCTCACATCAGTGTTCCTTTCTCTCCCTCTCTCCCTTCTCCCTCTTCCTTCCTCCCTCTCCTTCCCTTTCTCTTTCCCTCTCTCTGAAAATCAGTGAACATGCCCTCCAATGAACATTTAAAACAACAACAACGAAATAGTGAAAAACTCTTTTTGCTCGATGTAAAAGTAGTACAGTATCAGGGAAGTATAAATTACAGATTTTTTCAACATTTTATAGGGACTCTGGTTTCTTAAGAGATTTAAGTTACTCATCCAAACCTCATTAACTAAACAAATATAATCATATGAGGATTGTACAGATCCTAAAATGTACCATTTATAGAAATATACATTTATAGAATGTACCATTTATAAAATGTACATATAAAATATACATTTATAAAATGTACCATTTATAGAAATATACATTTATAGAAATGTCCACCAGATTTTAAGTTATAGATTATTTATTTATATATTGGGGGGGGGGGGAGTAGATTAAAAGACCTAAAGAAGATACTGCAATTTAAACAAAAACACCTTACATACCAAAATCTTAAATCAGAGTTGGAAAGCTGATTACAAGTATTTTAGCTATTCCATATATAGAATAAAATTCTCCTTTAGTCTTTTTCTATCCCTGCTTTTCCTTCCTTTATAGCAAATTGATGTAGTTTAGTGTTTGGTTCACCTACTTCTCCCTCGTCACTTAAAGTAACTTTGGAATTTATGTTGTTTAAGGTTGAGCTTAAAGGACTTTGGTTACACTTTTAAAAATCTTCTGGATCATAAATTAAAATGTATAATTTTAAAAGCTATTTGTTATATTACTTATAAAATTTTCCCCAAATGTGGATTGATTTTTTAAAAACTTCCGGCATTTTCATTTTAAGATATGATTAGTATACCCTCTGCTTATTGATGAGAGGGAGAGCAAGGATAAGTTAATGTTTGTTCTTTCTTGATAACCAATTTGTCTTACATTAGAAGCAACAAAAGGATTACTGATAAATGCTTCACTTTAAAAATACATTTTCCAAGGTATCATTTGTCATTAAAGATTGTTTTATCATCACACACAACTTGTTCACTGGGCTATTCATTTGAAGAGTTTGTCTCTTGGTATAGTATTTCTTGCCTATTCAGGTGACAAGTAGTATTTTAGGATTTTTAAAAATTCCATTTAGTTTCGAGAGCCTCAGTACTCTGTCTGCAATTATGATTTTTTTTCTTAAAATTTATTTTTGAAATGATATATATAAATATATTCTGATTTCAGTGGTGTAATGTCTTAAAGTTTCATTTTACATGTATAATTTGAATAGACATTCTTATTAGAAAAGTTAAGATCCTTTTTTGAAGTGTTTGGCAATCCAAAATATGAGAAGCTTAAAATAGGGTCAGGTATGAACCTGTATGGTGAATATTAACTCTATCCTATTGATAATCTCAAATAATTTGAACTCTATTTGTGAATGACTTTTTTTAGCTCCTTAAGATATCTAGATTTCTAGGGCTTTCTGTATAAGTACTGACATACCTCTTTTGTGACATCCATTGTTCCCATATTAACCAACTTTTCTATATTTGCATTTTTAGTTGGAGATAGAATAGTGAGGAGTCATGGCCCAGCTCTGATTTAGGACTATGTTGTTTACATCTTTCCTATGACTGAATTAATTTTCATTTTGGGCCTGAGGGGGTCTAATTCCCACTAGAACTAGGACATTGCCTGTGGTGTCTGTACTGCTCACATTTGAATGGGATATCTGAGCCCTAATTTTCTAGTTCAGATGTTTAGGAACATGCCTTAATTTCTGGCAGTTTACAGGTAGGTCATTCCTTCATAAGAGAACATTAAAGAAATCTGAATTGTAAGGCCGATCCACTATTTAAAAAACTAGAATTTTATCTGTACATCATGCAATTTAACTTTGTTTTGCATTCTCTAGTTACAATGGATCAAAACTGTAGTTGCATACTTTATTTGAGAAACGCATTTTGTTTTGTATGATATACTTACTATGTAAAAAACAAGGAATTGCCTAAGGGCATTTGTCATTGTTTCTGATTGAAAGTTTACTCTTTATTAAAACTAAAGTTTTTATAGTTATCTTATTTAATTTCAATTGAGTGTAGTATCAGATAATCCAACCAGTGATTTGTTGGTGTGATGGCCTAATGGCAAATAAAGTCTTTGCATACAAGTTTATAATCATTTGAAAATTTCATGTTAGGAAGAGTCCTTTGAGTACAACTGTAGAATGATAGTCGAGTAGAAATTGCAATTGAAATGCATGGCCTCTAATTTTTTTCCTATTTAAACCTTCCCCTCCTTTGTTAAATAGCATAACATTATTTCCCAAAATTGCTACTTTGTCTCATTGCATACACATTGAATTTTCCTCAAAATTTTTTTAGGTGAGTACCCAGAATATGAAGATGGGTGGGCTGCCGCGTACAACACCTCCAACTCAGAAACCCCCCAGTCCCCCTATGTCAGGGAAAGGGACACTTGGGTGAGTATGTAACTAAGTAATAACTGTGAAAACCATTTCATGTAGTGTTGTGGAAGACTAAACACTACATATATTTGTTATTTTTTAATATTTGAAAAGAAAACATTTTCTTCCTAAGATTATCTTTTTGTGAGTAATTTTCCCTTTTTCTGGAAAACATTTTTATACTTAAAATTTTTTTTCTTCAGAAATTATTTTTCTAATGAATTTTTCATTTAAGATAAAATCCTAGCCTAAGTTCATGGCTTATTATAACTTTCTCTAATTCTTATTTTCATAAAGGTTTTAGTTTTTTGTATTATAGTTGACTATTCTTATTTAGATTATTTCTCTGAAGAGCACTATAGATTACAAAATTCTGTATTTTTGGGTTATGAGAATATTAAACTTTAATTTGGTTTTACAGACGTGGGTTCCATTTAGACCAAAATGGTCAATTAATAGAAAAGCTTGACATTTTTCTTCTGTAGCATCAGAAAAAAAAACCTAGTATAAAAACTTGGTTTATCGTGGAGATTTGAGATCAGGTGGGCCTAATATATACTACAGAGGCCTAATGACCAAAATTGTGGTCCAGCTTTGCTCTTTCTCTGTGGTCTTACATAGTCAGCCTCTTAGCAATTCAGTTTTTTCATCTGTAAAAGGGGGTAATATTTTCATCTATCAATTTTTCAGTCACTGCCATGAATTGGATTTTTTAAAAAAATGTATAAAACAAAGAAAATACTTTGACATCTATTGGCTTTATGATATATGCTTAAAAGTTTTTAATTGACAATCTCTTTTTTGGCCCCCTCACCAAAAAAAAAAAAAAAAATCCAACAAACACACACAAAAATACCTAATCAAATGCTGTGGATCAGGACAAGATAAAGATGAATTGGAATATAAAGGAGGATAATATTGGGAATTATAGTTAGGACAGTGGGAAATAATATAAATGAATTCCAGCCAAGAATAGGATTTTATTTGGGGTGGGGAAAAAAGAATTCTGCTTTATTAGAGAGGAACGAGTTTAGTAGGTCAAATAAGATTTAAACTCCAGGGTAGAATGTAGATGACATGGTAGGGTATAATTTTGCAGAGATAAGAGTAGAGAGTCAGATCAAGAGGAAGTATTTGCTTTATTTTTTTGTGGAATGTCTACAGTTCTATCATGTATAGTACCTGACTGATTTTGTTAAGTTTTAAATCAAGATTGTTAGCAATCTGTAGTCTCTAGTAAAATAAAATTTTCTGTTGCTCTCAAATTTTGAAGATTTACTCATATACCAATATTTGTTTTCCTTTGTATTAGCAAGGGGTCTGCAGGATTCTTAGTCTCTGAGCACCACAGACTGGTTGATGGTCATAGTCTGGCCATTTTGTAGTCTTTACCTAGTCACCATATTTTTGTTTCTGTATTCCTTGTTTTTTACCTTGATTATAGTGTTGCCTTCAGTGTATAGTTCTCAATCAGCAAAGATTTTTTTCCTGTCTTGAAACAGAACATTTTTGTTGTCTGGGAAAAATTTGTTTGTAAATTAATCAATTTCCAATTTTATGTTTTTTATATTTACATCATAATTTCAGAGATGCCTAAACTTCTTTTTAATATTTTAAATGCATAGTCTTTTTTAAAAAAAATGTTTTATTTATTTATTTATTTTTATCCTCACCCGAGGACATTTTTCTATTTTTTGTTCCAATAGAGTGGGAGGAAGAATGAGAGAGAGAGAAACATCAAAGTGAAAGGGACACATCGAGTGGCTGCCGCCCACACAACCAACCAGGGCCGGGGACAAACTGCAACTGAGGTACACACGCCCTTAGCGGGAACCAAACCCGGGTCTCTCGGGACCGCAGGCCAATGTTCTAACCTCTGAGCCAAACTGGCTAGGGCATTAAATGCAAAGTCTTGACATTGTTTTTTTTTTTTGTTCTTTGACTCTATCTCATTTAATGCCCCCCCTTCTTAGTATAAATTTGTGTGTGTGTGTGTGTGTTTATGCAAGGAGATTTTGAGGGTAGTGGAGTGGATGGGGTCCTTGCAGAGTGCTCTCATCCAAAATCAGTGAACCATAATTTGAGTAACCCAGGAGAGCAGTATTTAAATATGTTTTTAAATATTTTTTAGAGAGAGAGAAAGGGAGTGAGAGAGATCCATGTGAGAGAGAAACATTGATCAGTTTCCTCCTGCTCACCCCCTACTGGGGATCGAGCCGGAAACACCAGCATGTGCCCTGACCATGAGAGAACACACAATCCATTGAGCCATACCGGCTGGGCGGGAGAGCAGTATTTAAGGGAAACTTGGGAGCTTTGGGGAAATGAATTATTGAGAAATTCATAAGTTAAGTGTGCAACATCATTTCAGGAAAAGAAAGCTTTTAAATTCTCACATTTTGAGATCCCTATTTTTATTCTTTTAAAGACCAAAGTCTCATTTACAAAATGTCAGTTGAGGATTTATCATTGTCGTAAAGAATTTGGAAACCATACATTGTACACCTGAAACTAATACAAAATTATATTGAATGTAAACTGTAATTCAAAAAAACAATTTTAAAACTACCTAAATGTTAACACCAAAAAGGAATTTGGAAATTATTTCCTTTCTTACTCTTCTCATTCTCTGCCTTTAAAAGGAAATTTTGAGGAAAAGGGGAAATAGTTAATAAAACCCAGTTTATTTTTGTACTTTACAGTTCAGAGTACATAAGGTTGGAAGACTTAGGTCTTTTTCTTTTTTCTTCTTTTTAAATGTTGAACTCAGGTGAAAATTAAAGGAGAAAGTGAGGTGAGAATGGAAGATGAGATTAACTTGTTTATTTTAGTGTATGGATATAGTTTGATTTCTGTGTATTGACTATATAGAAAAGGAAATATAGGGTTATAATTGCTGCTGATCATCAGTGTGGGGCTTGTGGAGCCTTTGAGTATTTTTGGTTAGGGAGAGGGCTGAGGAAGATAATTGGTGCATGTATGCAAGGTAGTTGGGAGACTTTGACATGGTACTAAAATAATTTGAACTCATCCAAGAAAAGAAGAGTCTGGGAAACATTGGCTTACTTGGTGGGAGAATTTTTGTGCTCACTGAGGATGAATGAACAAAATTGCATTAGCACAGGGAAATGAGGTTGGAGACTAAAAAAATAACAATACTCATCTAAACCCTAATGATGGAGAAGTGATACTTAAGGAAAGACTGAAATTGGTAGCTGGGTTATGTAAAAACACATTTTTCTATCTGTGAGTACAAAGTGTATTTCACTACTGGCAGCTCTGAATTTCTTGTGCCGAAACTTGCTAATCACACAATACATACGCTCTTCTTTTTGTAGGCGGCACTCCCCCTATCGCACACTGGAGCCAGTGCGTCCTCCAGTGGTACCAAATGATTACGTACCTAGCCCAACCCGTAATATGGCTCCCTCGCAGCAGAGCCCTGTGAGGACAGCTTCTGTGAATCAAAGAAATCGAACTTACAGGTATTTTCTCTACCTCAGTGCAAAATGTGATGGTCATAGTACCATTATTTGTTCAGATAACTTCAGTTAAATCTCTCTCATTTTTCAAGCACTAAGTTCTTTTCCTCACTCTACTCTCCCAAACCTCATCTGATTCCACCTCTCTTTCCTCATGTTCTGATGCAACTTTGAGCAGTCAGGAAGTTGGGGAAAAAAGACATGTTAAAGTACAACCTTCTCTGCAAAATTAATAGTTATAGTTAACCTTAAAAAAATTGTGGGCCAGATATGGGAAATTTCAAGTTGTTTTTTGGTGAAACTTTACAGATGAAAAACTACATGCAATCAAACATTAATATGGGCTACATATATCAAGATATTATTACAAATAAAATTAATCAAGTAATCTAGGAAAATTATGTTTTATTATAAAAGAAGTTTTTTCAGACGGGCATTAATCTAGAGTAAAAGGAAGTATTATTTTTATGTGTTGAGCCCCATCATTTATCATATATGTTTATAAAATTGTTTTCTTTCTCGATTTCTTTAATATATACTTACTAAAAGGTGGTCAAACAAGTATCGAACTCAGCTTTTCCCCCTACTAATAAAGAAATTCATATTTGAATTGGAAGACTTGAATTATCTTTATTGTTACTATATTCATTTCAGAAAATATTGGGAAATGCTGGAAATCTCTTACTGTATATAAATACTCATGATTTGGTGGCTCCTATTTCTTTAGCAGCAGTGGGAGTAGTGGAGGAAGCCACCCAAGTAGTCGGAGCAGCAGTCGGGAGAACAGTGGAAGTGGGAGTGTAGGAGTTCCCATTGCTGTTCCTACTCCCTCTCCTCCCAGTGTCTTTCCAGGTAAAACATGAATGGTGCTTCATCTTCACTTGTCTTTTCTGATTTTGAATTCAATTTCTGATTTAATTACAGTGGGCTTTCTTTGTAATAAGGAATTGTTTTTCCTTCAGGACTCCATAAATGTTGGGAAATCTTTATTATGCATTTGTTATTGTAACCAAGTGATTTGTAAATTTATGCTCACATACTTCTCTGTACTTTGGTTTTATGTCTTTGGTGCTGTATCTTGGTGCTTTGTGGTTTCAGGTACCACCTTGGTATGTTCTGTGTTTAATTCCAGCTAGTGTGTTGACATTGCATGTCTTGGACACAGGGAACTCAGTGTGACAATCATATTTGTAACAAACGACTGGACAAATATCAAAGTAGTTTTGACAATTAAATTTAGTGGAGTGTTGGAACTTACTAGTCTCCAAAATGCTATCGTCTGTTTTTTTCTGAAACAGAAAAATGTACTTATTTAATCTGAGGACACCAAAGTTTAAATTCAGTTTTAAAAGCATGACACAAAAGACATAGGTATAGAATATCACATATTTAATTTACTTATCCTAATAACAAATAGATAATACCTTTTTAAAAATCGTGAAAGAGAGATATTTGAGTTTTTCTAAATGGTATTTTACCTGATGAGATATTTATGTTTGGAACATATGTTTATTTTCTGACTTGGGTAAATTGGAATGGAATGCTGTTGTTTCCTAGTGTTTGGTTTTGTGTATTATTTACATAATGTTATACTAAAGATTACAGTATAAAGGGATCATTTTTCTTGCAGAATAGTGGCCTTCAGGTAAAAAGGAATGCTTGTTCTTAATGAATTAAAATATCTGTACATATCTATACATTACCCTGGTATCTTGGACTATTTCGTGCACACCTAATAATCCTTTAACATCAGCTTTATTCTTTTTGCTCTTTAACACTCTCTTCTATTCTTTGGTTAGTGTTGAGCATTGAATATCTAACATTAAGTTCTCTAATGCCTGTTCTAGTCCTGCCTAATGGGATTGCCTTATTAATGCCGCCTCTTACTCCTATTTCCCCTCAGCCCCTGCTGGCTCTGCTGGTACTCCTCCCCTTCCTGCTACTTCTGCATCTGCCCCTGCCCCTATTGTTCCTGCTACTGTCCCTTCCTCAGCTGCCCCAGACACAGCTTCTGGGAGTGCCCAGACCCTTGCTGATGGCTTCACTTCTCCAACTCCCCCTGTTGTTTCTTCTACTCCCCCTACTGGTGAGTATTGGCTTTTCCTTGGCAGGCAAAATCCAATCATCTGGTCTTTTATTACCTGGGACTGTGGCTTTATGATTTTTGTTTGTTTGTTTGTTTGTTATGTGTGTGCGTGCACACACATATATGTATATATGAAGAATAATTTACTACCTTGAAAATGGCACTTGATCAAAATAAAATATTCTGAGGAAATCAGGGTAAAGTTTCTCAGATATTTCTTCCAGCAGAGCAGCACAAATATACATTATTGCTTGAATTTCATTTACTAAAGATTTGTGAATTTAGTTTGGAACTATCTTGTATACTTTTAAGAAGTTGTCATTAGAAATATTGTTTGTTACAGGTTAAGTTATTAACAAAAAGAAAAGTCTGCCCAGCTGGTGTGGCTCAGTGGGTTGGGCATTGTCTCATGTGCCAGGAGCTGGCTAGTTCAATTCCCAATTAGGGCACATGCCTGGGTTTCAGGTTCGATCCCATTAGCAGATCTGCAGGAGACAGCCCATCGATATTTCTCTCTCATTGATGTTTCTATCTCTCCTTTTCTCTCTCTCAAATCAATAAAAACAAATTTAAAAAAGAAAAAGAAAAGTCTGACTAATTCTAAGGTATATTTTATATTTGATATAGCTATTTGTAAGTCTCTATAGGTCTATTATAACAGAAGCTGTTGCTCATTATAGCAGCATTGGAAACACATAGACAATGGACTTTTAAAGAATTTCAGGTTTTCTTAAGTGTTATTTAAGGTTGGTGTTTTATTGTTTAAAAATTATAGCCTAAAATCTTTTTTGATTGGAAAGGAGAGAAGGACTCAGTTGCTACAAAATATATTTGCAAAGGTAATAGTGATGCTGGTTAATAAATAAGTTCTTATTTGTTATAAAAATGTGTGTGTGTATGGATATGGATACACATCACCGTAGTTTGCCAAGTACTTCATAGAGTATATATTCAACTCTGCTGCTATAAGCAGATGTTTAAATGTGTTAAAAGACACTTTTTCAGTTAAGATGGATTTTGGATGATGTTTTATGGGATAGCTTCTGTAATAGCACTTTTTAAGAAACACTTTCTCCAGTGCATAAACGTCAACATGGGCTGTTCTTTGATCTACATACAGCTCTCTTTGGCCACACTGGCTACTTAAATTTAGGAATTTTGTTGTGCTCCTGCATGGATAAAGAATATAACCTGAAATCGCTGTAGGCCCAGAAAGGACAAATCATCCCCACCAGAGAGTCAACATTTTTATAATTTAATAATATGTGCTGGTTCAGAATATCTCCTGAATAAACATTTGTTGTATGAGTAGATAATGATAGTTTTTTTAAAAAGCAAGGTAGTAAATGCCTCAATAGGAATTTATATAGCTATAGTATTTTTTATGCTGTGTCTTTGAATCACCAAGTACGTTTTTCTCATTTTATTTAGGTATAGTTTATGTACAGTAAAACTTAACCTTGTTAATGTGTATTTCTTTGTTTTGAATCGTATGCACTGATAAAACCACAACTACATTCAAAATGTAGAAACAGTCTTAACATCCCCTAATTACCTCCATACCTCCTTTGTAGTCAGTCCATTCCTTTCACTCCAAGCCCCTGGCAACCACTTGATCTGTTTTGTTTTGTTTTTGTCTCTCAAGTATTGCCTTTGTAAGAATACCATGTAAGCCCTGGCTGGTTTGGCTCAGCGGTTAGAGCATCGGCCTGCCGTCCAGAGAGACCCGGGTTCGGTTCACGCTAAGGGCACATACCTCAGTTGCAGTTTGTCTCCGGCCCTGGTTGGTCGTGTGGGTGGCAGCCACTCGATGTGTCTCTTTCACGTCGATGTTTTTCTCTCTCTCTGTCTCTTCCTCTCCCTCCCTCCCACTCTATCTGAGCAAAAAATGGAAAAATGTCCTCAGGTGAGGATAAAAAAAAAAGAATATCATGTAAATGGAAGCATGTGGTATGTAGCTTTTTTTGTCTGGCTTTTTGGCACATTGCATTTAATATTTATCCATGTTGTTGCATGTTTCATTATTTTCCTTTTTGTTACTGAGTAGTGTTCTGTATGGATGTATACAATTTTTTTATTCCTTTCCCAGTTGAGAAACATTTGGATTGTTTTCTGTTTGGGGTGATGATGACTAAAACTGCCATAAACATTTACACACAGACTTTTGTGTGAGTTTAGATTTTCATTTCATTTTATTTATTTTATTTATTTTGTGGATTGTGCTTTTGGTGTCATATTTATAAGCTCTTTATTTTACATACTGTCATAAAGATTTTGTCCTGTTTTCTTCTAGATGTTATTCATTTTAGGTTTTACATTTAGGCCTGTGGTAATTAAACTGTAGTTTTGTTTTGGTTTTTCAACCCAAAGCAAATTATAAATGCCTTATTAATGGTATGAATAGTCTCTTTTATCTAGTGTCTCTGAATCCCTGAGGATTTATTATGTGAGATTTTAGGTTGGCTCTAACTATAAAATTCATAATGGTGTTAATTACCAGATGTTTTTAACTTGATGATCTAAGGTTTGTATTAGCTTGTTACAGATTAATTACTAAAATGCCAATAATATATTTGTATCTGGTGTTCAAATGACAAATGTATCTTTTAACTAATAGTTCATACTGGTTTTATATTTTTTAGCATGGTTACAGTGACTTGACAGTGCATTATGTTTAAGCTTTTTTTTAAAAAATGTTTTTTCTTTATTGATTTTAGAGCGAGAGGAAGGGAAAGGGAGAGAGATAGAAACATCACTGAGAGGGAAGAACATTGATTGGCTGCCTCCTGCATGCCCCCCACTGGGGATTGGGCCCACAACCTGGGCATGTGCCATGACCGGGAATGGAACCGGTGACCTGTTGGTGCATGGGTCAAGGCTCAACTAGTGAGCCACACCAGCCCAGCTGTTTAAGCTTCAGTGCTCAAGATTTTTATACAACAGAATTGATTTTTACGTTTCAGTAATGTCATATGTAAGAGTATTAAATGATACAGCAAATCTTTTTTTTTTCTTTTTTTTAATTATTTATTTATCTTCCCTCTGTCACACCCTGAGCCAACCATTTTCCCCAGGCTGCCTGGGGAGGTATAGGAAAAGGAACATACAGGGCAGACAAGACATGGGAGAAGGAACTATGGGAGGTGGAGACAGCTCCTTCACATGGCGACAAGGATGATGACAAGGGCCACCATCAGGCAAAAGAGCCCCATGACCTCTGAGAGGGCAAAGCCCCGAATGGTGTAGGAGAAGAGCTATTGCTTCCTGGCATAACCACTGATGAGACTCCCAAACACAGTCCCAGAACCTGACACCCCTACTGTAGCAGCCTCAGCCCCAATGAAGTTGGCTGCTGTTTCATTTGGCTTCTGTTTCTGTGTTTCACCATTTTGGCTATCACTGTGGGCTTTGGAGCCTGTCAAGTTTTCCCTGTGGGTGTTGGTGTTCTGCTGTTTGTGGCTCCCTCTCCTGTGTTTGGATGAGCGTGGGAGGACCCACGTTGAACACCACTGTCAAGTCTTACTTTCCTGGTTAAAGTTGCCAGTCCAGGAAAGGTACTGTTATCCTCTAGCTTTTTGCCTGGAGGCTAGCAGTCGAGGTTACTTGATGAGTTTTGGGTTGTCAGTTGATTGAAAAACTCCCTCAGGTCCTCGGCAAAAGGGGATTTCACGAGGGTGGGGCAGATGCTGGTTGTTAAAAGAGCTTCAATTAGCACTTCAATGGCCCACAGGGTGGGGTTGGATCTTCGAGGGAGGGGCTGCTGCCTCTCCTCAGAGCCCTGGGAAGGAGCAATGTGCCCACCGTCCTGCGTGGCTGCACTCAGCCAAAGCTCTGAGCGCCCTCCAAACCCCGAGTGTCCCGACACAGTTCTAGTCCAGTCTGCCCTCCCTCTGCCGGAGCCCAAGGTGAGTGGCTGTGGCAGTTTTAGCCTCTGTCCCGGCTCTGCGCTGTGGAGCCGCCTGGGAGTGTAACCCGAGGGCGCTGCTCCCAGCTGAGGCCGCTGCCGAGCTGCGGACCGTGGGCTCCCAGCCCCCGTCTCGCGCCTTCGCAAGCCTACCGGGATCGAGTCAGTGTCCCTCATTATATGGTCCTCGCAAGCTGCTTTTCTGTTGCTTTTTCCCGTCAATTTGTCTGTGTTATAGTTGTAATTCCAGTTTGGTTCTGGGAGACGGTCTGTGTAGCTTCCGTTCACTCCGCCGCCATTTTTCCTTCAACCTGAAGTTGGCTGCTGTGTTGATGTCTCTTGTGCTGGTTTAGAAGCTGCAGATAGAAATAAGTGAGGTCAGGGGAGGTGGTGTTGCCAAGCTGCTAAGGCTCTCATCTGTCACCACTGCAGACAGTGACCAGTTCAGCAGCTGAGAGGTGCTCCTGACCAAGGAAGGGGTGGAGATAAACTTGGTGCAGGCATACATTTTTAGGGGATGAGAGGTATGGCGGGAGAGCTCCCAGTGCAGAGAAGTCAGAAGTTGTAGCAGATCTTGAGTGCTTTTATGATATTCTTTTTGTTTGTTTTCTTTATTGATTTCAAAGTGAGGGGGAGAGAGAACATTGATTGGGTGACTCATGCATGCTCCCTACTGGGGATATGGCCCATAATCTAGGCATGTGCCCTGACTGGGAATGGAACCGGTGACCTTTTGATGCATGGGTCGACACTCAACCACTGAGCCAAACCTGCTTGGCTATGATAATATTTATATGAGTCCAGGTTTGATAAATTTATGGATTTCCTGAAGACCAATTTTAGTCATGTAAAACCATTTTACAGTCATGGATAACGTGTTTTTTCTTTGTTCCTTTCATCTTCTCTTCCCTTCTCCCTTGCCCTTTCTCATTTCTTTTCCTCATCTTCTTTTTCTTCCCCTTATCCTTGCTCCTTCCCTTCTCTTTTCTTCCCGATACTGCTCTTCACTCCTTCTCTTCCTCTCTTGTTTTTTTTCTAATTTTATTTTTATTGATCTTAGAGAGAAAGGGAGAGAGAGAAACATCTATTTGTTATTCCACTTATATATGTATTCATTGCTTGCTGCTTATATGTGCCCTTACCAGAGATTGAACCTGCAACCTTGGTATATCGGGATGATGCTCTAACTAGTTAACTGAGCTACCTGGTGGGGGCCCTCTCTTCCTCTCTTGCCTGTTGGAGTGATCTCTCTTGGGTGCTTTGTCTGTAACAGTCGACCTCCAGCTGAATGATTTTGAGTCGGGGGAGTGAAGATAAAATTTAGGAACTGGATTGCTGTAGGAAATTGGATGGTTAGAAAAGATTGTCTTCAGTTGGCATTTGTTATTGAAGTACTCTCAGAGATCAAAATACAGTGAAAGTATTGATAAATATGTACACATTCAGGGATGATACTAATAATAAGATATATTTTGAATCACTTTTTGTGTCTTAGCTTTTTTCATAATTGTAAAGTTCTCAAACTAATTTTAAGACAAATAATCTAGTTTTAGAGATGGATGTCTTTGATTGAATAAAGATGTGTTTGATTTGATTATGTCACTTGACCTTTTGCTGGAAATATTTTCTTTTCCTTTAATTGTTTTACTACCTAAATTTACTAATTTTTATTTTTATCTTTATTTTTATTTTGGAATAAGACTGTGTGTCTTATTTTTTCTTTTGCTTTCCCAAACATCATTCTTACCTTGTTGAGTTTTAATTTTCAGTGTTTTTAGTGGATTTTGGGGAATGGGAGGTGGAGGAAGGGAGCCATACATTTTAATTAATTGTGATGATTTTGAAATCTGTCAAATTATTAATTTAATAAAATTATAATATTAATTAGTAATCTATTTAGATGTAGTTTTTCCAGACCTAATCATTAATCTACTTTCCTGCTTTTGTATTTTGATATAATGTCAGCTGAGCAATAACTTGCATTGTTTTTCAGATAACTAATTAGCTAAACATTGTTATTTTTCATAATCTTATCTTTCATTGCTATTTTTCAGACATTGTACCTAAAGTATTTCATTGTCTTGAGATAATTTTCCTTTAATGGCAACTTTATGTTCTTTTCCTTTTCCAGGTCATCCTGTTCAGTTCTACAGCATGAATAGACCTGCCTCCCGCCATACTCCCCCAACAGTAGGGGGCTCATTGCCCTATAGACGCCCTCCTTCCATAACTTCACAAACAAGCCTTCAGAATCAGATGAATGGAGGACCTTTTTATAGCCAGAATCCAGGTTAGATTTTCTCTTGTTTTCTATAGAGTGTACCTGGTTAAAAATCTTCAGTTACAGAGAAAAAAACCTTTAATTACAAATGATTAGCACATGATAGGTGGTTAGTACGATTTTTTCTTTTTAATAGAGGAATGAATGCAAGGTTACTAATACTGTATTTTCCAGATCTTCTTTAAAAAAAAAAAAAAATCAATACGAGGTTTCCATATAAAGTTGTAGAACTTAATTTTTCTTAACAGAATCTTTTTGAATGTGCTAGTGGTTATTTGCTTTTAAAAATAATTTTGTGGTTAAAATATTTCCTTCCTATTTAATTAGATATCTTTGCTCTGTGAATAGTAAATAATGAAAATTGAGTGTACATGGACAGAGTTTATAAGCAGCAAACTAAAAGGGACATTTTTGAAAATGGTTTGTGCTAGGGAGTTATACTATCTTATTCAATTCTCATACCAAACCTATGATGGGAAAATAGACTCGAACAGATTGATTCAGATATAACAATCATCTTTCATTTGCATCATGCATACAGAAACTTAATCTAGCATATATTTAATACTATATATAATAATTTTGCTTCTTCTCCAAAGAAGGTAAGAGCAAATCTTAGACTTTATGACTATTGTGGACATGATATGTCAACTTATAATGTTTTTCTGGATTTTTGTCAACAGGTCATTAAGTTCATTCCATCTTTGATAAACACTGAATTTTTTTTTTTTTTTTAGTTTAGGTAGAGTGGGAGGGGGAGAGAGGAACAGAGAGAGAGAGAGAAACATCGATGTGAAAGGGACATATCGAGTGGCTGCCACCCGCACGACCGACCAGGGCCGGGGACAAACTGCAACTGACATACATGCCCTTAGCGGGAACTGAACCCGGGTCTCTCGGGACCACAGGCCGACACTCCAACTGCTGAGCCAAACCGGCCAGGGCAACACTGAATTTTATGGAGTTGAAATCTGTCTGCTATGGCTACTACCTTTTGGTGAAACCTTGTTGTATTCTTTGGTGTTTTGTGCAGAAGAAATGTGATCCTCCTTCATTAACACAGTTTAAAGAACACTTTTATATTTATTGTTTCATTTGATTCTTAAAATTATGTGATCACTTTCATCTGTATTTTACAGGTCAGGAAACTAAGACTGAGGTGATGGTCAAGTTAGGATTTGAATTTATGTTATCTAATTCCATATTCTTTCTTTTGTACTAGATTTCTACTTACCTTCAGATTTAAAAAAAAAATCTGTCTCACCCTCTCGTGTGTTCTTTTTGGTTGAGCAGGAAGATGTCCACATTGTAGTGTAAACTGCATGAGAGCCTGAAACCTTGTCTTTTTTTTATATAGTTATATCCTGGGAATAGTGCTCAGTAACTATTTGTTGAATGTGGAATGAATCTCTTGTTCATTTATTCAAATCCCTTCACTGTTTTGGGTCTCTCTTGTAGATTACAGTCGGCCCTCGTTTATCATGGTTAATCAGTTCCAGACTCTACCGCGATAAATGAATTTCTGCAAAGTAGGATTCTTTATTTATACAGTTGTCCCTCGCCACTTTGTGCTTCGACTTTTGCGGCCTCACTCTCTCGCGGCTTAAAAACCATGTTTATAGTCTAATCACCCTATGGTGTAATTACCAACTGCTTTACTTGAAATATACTTCTCTTACTGCTTAGTGATTTGGGCTGTGCCATTCTTTTTTTTTTTAATCTTCACCCAAGGATATTTTTCCATTTATCTTGAGAAAGAATGGAAGGAGGAGAGAGAGAGGGAGAGAAATGGAGGGAGAGAAAAACATTGACATGAGAGGGTCACATCGACTCGTTGCCTCCTGCCCGACCCCAACCAGGGTCGGGGACGAACCACAACCAAGGTATGTGCCCTTGGCGAGAATCGAATCTGAGACTTACTGGTCTGCGGCTGACGCTCTGTTGCTTAGCCAAACTGGCCAGGGCTGTGCCATTTTTTTTAAACTCATTTTGAGCTTAATTTTGACAAATCAACCTGTCTTTTCATCCATTCTTTTAAATCGTGTTCCAAACCCATATTTGACTAGGAGCTAGTTTGTACCAAAATGAATTTTTTTTTTTTAATTTTAGTTTGTTAGATATGGGTTATTTCATAGTTCTGAAGGTAAGCTTTGTTTCTGGCCCTCTTGGAAGTCTAGATAATTATTGCTTTGGGCGCTTACGTCCTTCCTCATCTCTGGAAAGAGTTTTGAAAGAAGGATTTCAGTCCAAATGGACTGGTTCTATAATAGAGCTGAGATGCGCCACTGTTCCAGCTTGAGACCAACTGTACATAATATATAGAATGTATATGTAAGGATATTTCATGCTGTGTACATGTATAAAAACAAAATATTGGTGTTATGAGAACCCTGTTAGTGGAAAATACTTGAAGGGTATTTAAGTACATATTTATATATGTTTTAAATACCTATTTTAATACTTTTTTCTTTATAAGTCTGATTTTAACATACTTGAAAGTATATGTCAAAGTGAAAAAATACCTTACTCTATGGAATGATTTTAATGAAAGTATTTTTCATGCTAATGAAAGTATAGTGAATTGAGATTATGAGCCTTCAGTATAATGTGTGAGACAGTTTAGTTAGTTGGTGTGGTTTTTTTTCCTGTACTCCTCTCTATTAAGTTCCGCCTTTATACTCCAGGGATTTCGTAACTGTTTACAGAGTGTAACTACAGTTTTGTTAGTTTGATTAATCAGAGTGCTTTTCCTAAACTAAAAAAACCCAACTTTTTAATAAAACATGTTTTTTGAAAAGCTGTTTTTGCAAGACTTAATGCCTTGCAAACCAGTGTTTTAAAGGCCATTAGATGCTCCTTTATTTTATTTGCTTTAGAATATCATGTAAGTTTCATGTATTACTCCACTGGTCTTACAGTGGTCCCTGTTTTTTTATTTTTAAAATGAGAAAATTTGTTGTGCTTTTTCAAGTATCCAATAACATGATCCTGGGTATGTGTTATATGAGCATATTTTTTTTTTTTGCAGTTGGATGATGGACATGAATGTGTGCTTTTGAAGAAGTGAGCTAACAGGCTGGGATTCATGTGAATAATTCACTGGGGTTTCTGTGAGATTTAAATCTAGCAGCACTGTAACTATATTTGGTTTGAGTTTAAAAAGGGAATTATAACATAGGAATTAAAATACAGAACACCCGGTATCTGGAGTCTAGTTCTAGAAGCACAGTAATTACTTTTCTAATGAGATTATTTCAGAAACAAATTAATGACAGTAACACTTTAATCAGGGCATAGCTGAAACCCTTTAATTGTCATTGTTTCTTAATCTAATCCAGCCAAAGAAATAGCAACACCAATTTATCATTCATCTTGTCAGCAGTAAGGAAGATCATTGAAACATATAGAGCTAATCACAAGTTAATAGTTTTTAGTTTAAATATAAATATGAAGCACCTTGGTATTAAAAAAATATATATGTATGTATATTTACTTGTACTCATACATTTACATGTATAAACCTAATTTGATAAGTGTCTTAGGCTGCTATACAGAGCTCCATAGACTAGGTGGCTTATGAACAACAGAAACTTCTCACGTTCTGGAGGCTAGAAGTTGGAGATCACGGTGCTAACATGGTCAAGTTTTGGTGAGAATTCCCTTCTGGTTTGCAGTCTTCATGTTGTATCCTCACATGGTGGAAGGAGAGAGAGAGAGCTATGTAGGGTTTCCTTTATAAGGGCACTAATTCCATTAGTGATGGCTCCATCCTCATGACTTAATCATCTCACAAAGGCCCCAACCTCTAAATACCATCACATTGGGAATTAGGATTTCAGCATATGAATTTTGAAGGAACATAAACATTTGGTCCATAACTGTAAGGAATCAATAATGTGGTATTGAAGTACTAAGGCGTTGTTAGAAGATATTCTACATTTTACTGCTCATATTTTCCTACAACAGATACTCTAATTCATAAAGTGGAATGTTGGTTCTAAGAAATGTGTCTGTATGCAGTTATATGAGATAGAGGAATTTCTGAATAAGTATGTCATAATCTAAACACTGACTATTATTAAAAGAAACTGAAAATAAAACAACCAATGAAAAAACAATATTGAGTGGGTGGTATTGTAGAAGAGAAGCCATACCACATTAAAATGATAACTAAGTACAGAATTACCAAAAAATCTCCAGAAGAATATAGACATTGTGGGGCCTAAGCAAAGTATAAACCAAGAGCAGTAGTAGGAAGCTACTTTTAAATTCTAATCTTGGGCAGTTTTTGAAGTTTGTTAGAGAATGTTTACTCTTGAGAGAACAAAAAAAGCAAGAAAGCTACTGAAAAGTGTAAGTATATTTTCAGATGACCAAGTAAACCAAATAGACCCTTTACATTGATTATTAAACACAAGTTATATATTTTTTTCCTTTCTTCTTTTAAATTTCTCTTTGCATTCTGCACGCTGACACAGAGGTAACACAAAATGACTGAAACTTAAATATGAAAGAATTCATTACAATTAAATCTACAACTGTATACATTTACCTTATTCACATGTCAGTGAAAAATCACCCTTATGAAATTCGACAAATTATATCAAAAAAATCCCAAAAAGATCTCATAAAAAAATACATCTAAGTCTGAAGAGTACTGCACTCTTGACGCCTTCATATCCTCTTCTTCTGTGTGCTGTTGTACAACACATTGTTTCCTCAGATAAATGCATCCCGTACTCATTCTTCATTTGTCCATTTACATATTCTTCTGTCTGCTCCAAGGCTATATTCATATAGCCATCCAGGCAAGCCAGGACCCCTCGATAATCCACTCCAGAATTTAATTTTACCAGCACTGGTCGTCCAATGATTTGCTTTAAGAAGTCACTGGGGGTTTGCTTCCGCAGACTCATTTTAACAATCCTGATCAGAAATTTGGGGGGCAGGACACCTGAGATCTGATCCCAGCTCTGCTAACTTAATTAGCTGTGCACCTTGGATAACTC